TTTTACAACACAGGCATGTAGCACATAGACTGAGAATGTGAACAGAGAAGCTAAATTTTATGAAAATGTAGGTCAAGTGCAAAACTGGGAAAACAAAATGTTAGCTGCTCTTGTTAAAGACCAATTCAATTATGTAACTCATAAGCAGCAAAAAATAAATAAATAAATATAAATCTTCCTCTAATATTTCCTGCCTTCAGCAAATCTTCCAATTTTTATTTATTTATTTATTTTACTACTATAGTAGTACCAAAGGGAAAGCCTTGGCTGTTAAGTCCAGTGCAGCAATTTCTTGTCCAATCTGCCACTTCCAGAACTAGTCCTCAGGGACTGATAACCTAGATGATAAAAATAGAGTGCTTAAGAGGAAACATACACTATAATTACCTTCTAGGAGTTCTCTGTAGGTTTAAGTCTTCATTGGATTGTAACAGAAGACTTGGATTTGAGACAGATCCAGCTTTCAAAAGCCAATTTCTACCCTGTAAGAAAAAGACAATATGGCTTAGCTATAGATTACTCAGAAGCCTTTGATGGGTAGACTCACACTAAGAAGTACCTTCTGGGTGAGCCCACATGTTGTTGCAAACTTGCTACGCCCAGAGACTTCTCTGAGGAATCCTTCCAATATCAGCTGCTGGCTGAGTGATTTCCACCAGTTCTCTGTCCAGTCTTTTCCACTACCGTACAGAGGGTGTTTCCTGTATCTGTCTGGCAGACGCTGAGAATTCTGAAATTGAGAGAATCCGTCAGGTTTCTGCAGCCCTTCTGGAAGGAAGTTCTCAATATACCCCGCAAGATTATCATGAGATATGAGGAACGTATCCCCAAGAACATCAGCTTCCTAGAAGAACTTCTCTGCAAAGTCACAAAACAAAATATTTCATTCAAGTTTACGCAATAACCACAACAACCACACTTAAAAAAACTCAATGATGAGCACAAGCCATGCTTATCACCTTGTTCAGTGTCACCTGAGGAGTGATTTCACCTTTGCTAACGTAATCCATTTTTGTGCTGTGAAAACATTATGACTTCAGAAGACAAATTACGCTGATATGACAAAACTGTAAAACTGCCTCTGCACATGGAGGAAGTTACAGGATAGGACAAGGGTGCAGAAACAACTACAAGCTGACTGCAAATGCTTGCTCTACTGCTCCTCCTCTACTTCAGCTGCCTGTAAAAAGGTTTGGGCATTCACTTTAACATTTCTTTTTGTTTGGAATGGTTGCTGGTTTCATCATCTCTTATCAACGGTTCAGACTAGAAAAAAACCCACAATTAGTTACTCTCTGATCCCCCAGTCTCAAGGTCCAAAGGGACTGCAGAGAGCTTAAAGCCCCTTCCATACAACAGGAAACTTCCCGTGAACCTGAAAAGTTCAGAACATTTCTGAAACAGGGAAGTAGGAGAGGCCGAAATGGTAGAAAGTAAAAGCATCTTAGAGGGAAAGAAGTTTCAGTTTACCATTGATGTAAGAAAGCAACAGGAAGACGTGCCTCAGATGGTCATTTGCCCATGTGCTGACCATCCCCACTACAGAGAGAGCCATATTGTCAAATATGCCATTTTTTTAAATTACAAAAACATATGCATATACATATGCAGAACATGTGCTCTAGTATATACACAGGTTGCTCCAAAAGTAATGCCACCTATTTATTTTCATGGAAACTACAACAAAGAGCTCTACAACACTTTCATAAAGCAAATTCTCAGCTATAAAATGCTATTTCTCAACACGGTCACCACCATTATCTATACATTTTTGCCAGCAATGAACAAGAGCCTGCATAGCGCAGTGGTCAGCACAGGGAGGCCTGCTGAACTCCATCATGTCCTCAGGGCTCACAGGGAAGAGACGGACAAGGAAGTCCTGCTCAGCTCATGAGGAGCAGCAGGAAGAGGGTCTTGGTTCAGCCTTCAGCACCCAAGGAATGGCAGCCACATGGAAGGGAGACACAGCTTGCTGCACAATGGCACTTGAGCACTGAGTCCTGACTCTGATTTAGAATGAGTCACCTCTGCAGGAGACAGTAAAAGCTAAGTTTTACAACCTCATGTCTAGACCTCATTCAACCCTTAACATGAATTATTTGAAAGCATAGCAACATTCCTTTCAGTTTTGCAGTTACATGATTTACTCCAGTGGCTGCACATTTTCAGAATATGGGTTTAACTCTGAGAGCAAGTTCAACTGCGGATATCTCTATAAAAGGAATAAGATGCAACACAGTAAACTTCTCGGCCATATTCGGGATGAGCAGTGTCATGTCACTTTGGCTTCTGACAGTCAGTCCTATGCCAAAATTACAATTTTAACTGTTTAGAAATTATTAGAGTTACTACTTAAAGCCATTGGCTTTAATCACTAAGTCTATTATTAACAATAAAATCATTGCTGACATAGCTATAAATTCACATGTTGGCTGATAAAAGGAGCTCAGTTGTAAACATCCTGTTGTTCTTGGTTTGGTTAGTGTAGAGTTAGTGTAGGTAGGGTTAGTGAAATATTTCTGTCAATGCAGCTCTAATTCCAGGTTTCCCGGAAGACTTTGTTCACTTTTATGGCCTGCCTCAGCTTTCAAACATGAAGTGAAACCTGGTCCCTCCCATGTCTACCTGAAGTCTGTTGGAAGCCACCTGGACTTGCTTGTTGTAAAAAGATACCATTAACTTCTTAAAAGCATCAGTTTTCCATCACCTACATAAATTTTTGAAGTCATATACCACTCATCTTCAGATAGAAATAGCACTTATAACTTGCAGTGATACCGGTGGACTATTTCACACATTTGTTCTAGAGAAGGACAAACTGAAGCAAAAAGCAAAGAAAAACACCATTTTTAAAGGGTACGTTAGCCCGGAGAAAAGTGTTCTCATAAGCAGTAAGAATTTATTCCATATTAGCAGTGCAAGCTTGGCATAATTAACAATTCTCCCAACAATGTCTAGCAAATACATTATTCAAACTACTTTAAGATCTATAATGATGTATTTTCACTCTAAGCACACTTGTGACAATCAGCAGATTTCTTACTAAACGCAAAGAAAGCATGACATTATTCACCAAGTGTTTTCAAGTACTGCAAGTGTTTTTTTTTCCAGACTGTAAACATTTGAAGTGATTTTGTTCTTACTCCTGTGTTCTCTCTCTGGTGCATTTGTCCTCAGTATTCCAAATGCACTACATGTGAAGACAGGCATAAATCATTTACACCCATCTTAATATGCTACTTCCTGTCTCACCACTCCAAGTCAGTCAGCACTCCAAGTCAGGACAAAGCCAGAACACAAGTCATCATCTTCTTTCTTCAAGTCAACGGACTACCAAGCAGAGACCTGTTTGTTCTCAGTTCTAGAAAGGCTATTCCTTTCTGGACAATGGAAATGATGAGTATTCACTGAAAAGTCACTTAATTGCCTCTGCAAAGACATCAGACTTGCCATAAAGAATGTAAGAGCTCAAGATTTTCAGAAAGAGCTTCAGAACCTCTGCCAGCACTAGGGTTAATACACAACTGTTGATAACAAAGTAACCCACAAAACACACACAGGTAGCACATCACACATTTCTAAGCTGAGATCTTGGACCATGTAACAGGCTGAATATTGCACCTTTTAGAAAAGCAGAGCTATGAGAAGAGCAGCTCAGTGGCAGAAACCATTCCTTTGTTGCACCTACACATAGATTAAGTACAGCATGCTTAGGAGATTCACTCTATTTGTTGACGTTGCATTTAAAGGCAACAATCTAGTTTGTTGTGTGGGAAGTGCTGCTGAAGAGCCTCAGGAAATCTAACTCTCCACAGTTACATAACTCTCTAAGAAAAAGGTAATAAAATACACATGCATATCAGTGTATTGTCTATCAATAAAGAGAACAGGACATCATAATAATCCCTCTTCTTTCAGAGGGCAAACAATTTTTAATATCACTTACAGAACCTCGGAGAAACAAAATGGGAACTCTAGTTCCAAACTTCTCTTCCAGGGCGCTTACTGCAGAAAGCAGCTGATATGCTTGCTTTCCAAAGTCCTGTAAACCACCTTCTGAATCACTGGAGGTTGCCAAACAAGATGTTCTGAAAGGCACAAAGAAAACTAAACTTAAGCATAAACAAACCAAGCCTCCTCTTTGTCAAACACTGTTTACTAAGTAGTAACCAAATAAAATACACATCTTGAATTACATTTAAAGGCATCATTAATTGCTTACATAGGTGTAAAGAACTAGAACTGAAAATGTGGGACCAAGCAAGATCAATGTCATGTGTGATTAAGACAGCTGCACAACCAAACACTAAACAGTTCTTTATGATACTCGTTATGACAGAATGTCATCTCACTCATCTTCTGGTTTTAGTATTTGAATATATGGACAGTCGTTGATTTAAAACTTTCTATTGTTTGCTTGTTTTAGATGCACATAATAGCCAAGAAGTTACTTCTTTCTTCCCAGTAAACACAAAGTGAAAACAACAGAAGGAAAGAGCTACCCCATTTCCTTTGCCTTGTTACTGCACGTGTTACTGAGTAGAAAAACCTATCAAAAAAACACACTTCCAAAATAGCGGACAGTGATCTGCATTTCAAACAATTTGAGTTCTCCAATACAAATTCACCGTATGGCCCTTTACTGGGGCACACCACTGTAACTGCAAACAAATGGAAGGTATGATCTCTCCAATAAGTTCTCTTTTTGGTTAGTTTGGATAGGGTCCAGTTTCGTTATTCCTTGAGCATACAGTAAATGTAACCATGCTGGTACATTTTTTTGCTGAGAGAAACACACTTTAATAACTCGTCTCTGATCACTAAGTGTTATGCTACCAGCAAGAACAATGGATCACTTACTACAGCTTCAAGAATGTGTGTATGTACACAAGAGATGGAGGAAAGTGTTTCTACTCAAATCTGTGAGGTTACTGATCCCCTGGCTTCCCTTCAGCACTTCTGAAATTATTACACGTGCTGGAATGAACATGTCAGCACACACCATAACAAGAAAGCAACTCCTATTACATTAAGGCAATTCAACCTGAAACACACAGATCCGCGTCCCACTTTCAAGAAGTTTCTTCTGGGATTAATTACCCAATAGGACTTATAAAGCAATTGTATTTGCACGGTCTGAGAAAGTTGCTCTAAACCATTTCGGGAACTGAGGCCACGCTTTGTTTACAGGTTTTCCCACAGCAGAACTTATTGCTTATAACCTGCCTCATGGCTTTTTCAATTATTGAATAGCAAGTTAAGGACAGCTGTTCAAACAAAGATAAGCTTCAGGCTCAACATCTGCAAAACCAAGTGCATAAAAAGTCAATTATTTAAGACAGTTTTCCTTGTAAGTCAGCCTGAGAGAACACATCCTCTTGTATCAGCCTTTCAGGGGAGAACACTTACCTGCACCTGCAATTATCACAGCACTCTTCTGTGCCCATAATGCCAGAGGAGACCTTTCGGAGTTGTTTATCTTCAAAATGAGACAGGATGATTCTACCCAAGGGAAAGCAGGGAATTAAATAAAAGAATAAAAACTTACTCATTAAATTCATTGCAGAAAACAGAATTGAAATCAGCATAATTAATTCACTGCGGAGACAATTTTGGCCCTGATTCCACTGAAAAAATGGAAGGGTTTTTTTTGAAAAGTAAATAAGGAACACTTGAAACATTCATATAAACATGCTGAAGGTTGTATTTCTTGATATTGAAGAAGCCTTATGTTTACAAGCTACACTTGTGAAAGTCGCAACTACTCTTATTAATGCTAACTTAAGTTACATGCAATTACATGCGGTTTGCAGTACTCACTTTCTTCTGCAGCTGTTTGAGGAAAGGTACTTCTCCATTTTTTCTAACATCTTCAGTTTGCACAATCTGAACTTTTCATTGTGTATCTCACTTAGAAGACGCCTGCCAGTCAAAAGAAAAAAATGAACCTTAATATTGACTGCTATTCTCCTGCGCCTCACCAACAGTGAGATACCTGTTGCCCAATGTAATACTCTTTATAATAGTCACAGGAAGCATTCAAATTAAAAAAAAAAAATAGCATGGGAGTACTGTTAGGGGTTTATGGAGAATTCACTTTGCCAAACCTGAGCTACCAGTTGCACAATGTTCAAACCCGAGCAAGAAAGAGCACAAGAGAGAGAAGGAGATACAGAAAAAGAAAGAGAAAAGAAGGCAGTTCTACAGCACCAGTACTCTTTAAGGGTGCTGATAGATCTTGTCCTGTAGGTCATCAGACCTCTGTATAAGTAACCAGCTCTCATCATAGTCTGCATTGCAAAACATTTTCAGGAAGCATCAGTAGAACAAAAACACACTCATTACTGTTACTGCATTGTCTACTATCTTGTAGAATAAATGCAATTTATCTAGTACCCAGCACTGAGCATGCATAAAAGTTCTTGGAACAATGCTGACAAAGACATTATGATTTCCAGCCAAACCACCCGTCCTCCTTTCTTTAGACATGTTAGCTATCCGTGTCAAAGCAGCAGTCTTCAGCCATTTACCTGTTTAAAACCAAGTCTGCTGCAGTCCACAAGACGTGACAAGAAGCAGGAAGCCCATCACGACCAGCTCTTCCAATTTCTTGATAATAGGATTCCATTTCCTTAGGGGCACCATAATGAATAACCATCCGGATATCTGCTTTATTGATGCCCATTCCAAATGCCACTGTAGCCACAACACACTACAAAACAGAAGCCACACACTGTATGTTTTGAAATGATCAGCAAGAAATACGTTTGGGTTTCTATTAATGCTCACACTGTTGGTGACAATCTTTCGCCACAGACTCAAAAACTCAGCTTAAGGTACAACAGCTTCAAACTCACACTTGAATTCTACATCACTGTTAATAAGGAGCCTAATTTTGGTCACAACATGAGCACAGGATTATAGTTTTGAGAGTGATGCCATGGCCTGGCAAACGTTAAGAGTGTTTTCAGGTAGTTATTCTCAAGCAAAGGATAATAAACATGGCCTGAAAAAGAACAGAATAAATCTCAACATAACTGCAGCCTGCTCAACTGCAATAGGAAGAAAGTAGCTCACAGAAATTGGGAGGGCATTATTCTAGCTACCAGTTTCTTCACGTTTACATACATGAACATATTAAGATATATAGTATCTTACATATTAAGAGATAGTACATATTATCTATACATATTAAGAGATTTACTAAAGGAATTTGAAACATAAACCAGGAACAATATTACTGTCAACACAAACCAGAAATTTTTTTCCCATAACAGGAGATGTACAGAGTAAATTCAAAACATGCTGATATTTCCAAATTCTTTCATCTACTGGAAACTCTACAGTTATAACTAAGAAAACACATTTTTTTTTTCCCCAAGTACCTGAATTTCATCCCGCATGAACTGGTGATGGGTATCTCTCCTTTTTTGAATTCCCATGCCAGCATGGTATGCACCACAAGTCACACCAAGTTTATTCAGTTCAAACACAACTTGTTCAGTGGCCTTTCTTGAAGGGCAGTAGACAATAGTGGGGCCTTCAAACTCATACGTAGAACTGCTAAAAGTAGTAACAATCCATAAAGATGCAGAAAAGAAGATGCCACCATTTGGCAAAGACTATGCCTTGCCCTAATTGAAAAGGAAATGCAGCTTTTTGCAGCAGTTCACCATTTTGGAGATTCTCAGATATAAATAGATTTGAATTCTCTAGTTCCCATATTTTACATATTGTTATGCAGAGATAATATCAGTTTGCACGAAATGCCATCACCTCACATATGTTAGAGGTACCACAGATTAAAAACAGCGCCTTCTCATGAAGCTGCTTTATCAAACAGAAGCAAATTCGTGCTCCCAGATCATGCACAGCACACAGCTTTCAGCAGCCGAGACCGATCTTTAGACTTCACAGTCTAAAGTGAAGAATTTGCCAATGAGCTCTTGCTAAGCAAGAAAGAGAAGGTTTTTTTTTTCTCCTACAAAAATTGGGTACTTACATACAAATTGCTTATCCTTTGTAAAAATAGACTTGAAAGTTACTTGGTGATCTTTAGTGCCTTTTACAAAAAGCAGATGATTTTGGTCTGTGCTGGTTTAACAGCATAAGGCCTCCCATTTTCTGAAGGTCATCAGGAAACATGCTTTTACAGCCATCATTTTTAAAAGGTCAATATTTATATAACAACATACAAATTAGGGAAACGTATTTATATTGCTGTAGAGGCAAACATTGTAGACTGTGACAAGGAGAGGAAAGGGGCAGGAAACCCACTCTCATGGGTACACTGGTGGGTGTGCTATCCAAAGCACTGCAATTGTTCTGCTCAGTTAGCCCTCTCAAAAAAATCTGATTCAGATTCAGATTCAACTCACTTATTATGTACAACTATGTTTAACAAGGAATCCACCAGCCAATTCATCACTGTCATTCAAACTGCTACAATGCTGTAAGCTTCTCCGAGGATCAAATGAACCTGAAGATCCTTCAGTTAACAGCATGCAGACTGTGAGATACCTCAAACTTTTTTTTTTGTCCTAAACTGGGAGAAGATGGAAGGCAGGGGTGCAAATATGATGAATGACTAACACAGTATCAGGTGAAGACTGGGGTGAGAGCCTAAGCTCCACCCCACCAGATCAGTTTAAAACTGCTACCAGTTTTTGGTATGCACTACTGATAACCTGTTAAGTACTCAAGTATATCTGCAGGAATAACAAAAACAGCCTAAATCCTTACCTTCCTTTCCTAATAAGGAACTGTTTCAAATCCCTAAGAATATTTCCACTCTGTCGTCCAACTTCTAAGTACAGATTAGGTCTGTCAAAGCTAGTACACGTGATCTGAGGATTCTTTAGGTTCAGACAATTTACTATGTCTTCTCTAATCGAGGGACTTGCAGTTGCTGTTAAAGCAACAATGGGAACCTGAAATTTAAAAAAAAAAAAGCAGAAAGTCAGACACCTCTCAATGATTTAAGACAAGTCAAAACTGATCAGCATGTCAACAGGCACTTTCATCTGTTTATGTTCACTAAATCAGCTCAGCTGTTTGAAAAACAGGTAATATTTAGCTTTCTAGAGCTTCATTCTACCCTGTTAAGGAGCACAGACAGCAACAGAACACCTGAACCACATGGTTTTCTTCTTCATTCATGTCTTCTTTAGTTGCATCTTCAGTGAGGCTGCAGCAGCTGTCTATTGCAGACGGCTCAATTCAGAGAACATAGTACAAAACTTTCAAGAATTAAATCTGAAGTTCAGGTCTAAATTTTGGAACTTGTGCAGTAAATGCTTCAGGAAAGTTTGGAAGTTATAACTGATTATTCTTGCAAGCTGCTTGGCCAGTTTCAGAAACAAAATCCTTCAGTATTAAACCAGGAACTTAGGAACAACATTTTTCAGCACACAGAGATGCAACAGAATTACTCTTTTTCAGACGTTCCTGATAGCCCAGATTCCAAATGCCCTCCATTTAAACCTTTTGGGGAGTAAAAGTTAAAAACAAAAAGCCCACAAAACTCACTCATTGATAGGAACTGCAAAAGCACCCAAAACAGCATAGTAAGGTAAGAACACCCAAAAGACATCACCGAAGATGAAACTTAAAGCTATCGTGTGAAATGAAGTAGTATCCTTCTCTTAATTTGGAAATCAAGCACATATTAAAACCTCACCGATGGTAGAGCCTTCTTTAATAAGTTTAGCTTTCTAAAGGAATTTCTGAAGTCATGGCCCCACTCAGAAATGCAATGAGCTTCATCAATAGCTATGAGAGCAATACCTGGTGGAGACAAAACCACAGCATGGACACAGCACTTACAAGGCAAACCAACATGGGAAGTTACAAAATACAAACACCACATTCCGTTCAATCTCAAGTTTTCCTTAGAAGGTACCAGCAATCTGCTTTAAGTTCTGTTTGTAGGATGTCTTCTGCTGTAAGGACTCACCAAGCCTATTTTTATATTAACCTAATTTGTGAAAATATCTAAGAGCTCTCACAGATTTCCACTACTACCACCTCCGATTCCTTCTCCAAGCTTCAGGTCTACAAGTACACCTCTACAAAAGGCTAAAGTCTTAACTATCATTAACAGCTAGAATCTTTTTCTTCTCTTTCCAGATTTCCTTACTAATTGTCAAAAATGTTGATGTCACAAAAAAAAACTATTTACCATGATGCAATACAGTGTTTCAAAACAAGTTTACGGTCACATTCTGAGAAAATCTGATGGATTAAAATACTTTAAAAACTAAAATATTTAGTCATATATTTCTTACTTCCTGCAATTTAAACAGTGTTTTAACCTCTCTGTTCTCAGGAACTTAGCAAACATTCCCATACCAAGATCATGCTAAAGACTATTTGCATATAGTCATTTTTTTTTAATTAACAACAGGGTCTTCTGACACTATGTATTGGCAGCGACTACCCTAGCTCCAAGCTCAAGGTGAGAAACAAGTTTAACATTGTCAGAGTTAATTATGAAATGAAGCTGTCTGCCATCTCATCATCAACCTTATTCCCAACTTACCAATAGTTTGGTCAATATCCTGAAGTAGCTCTAAATTCACTGAACAGAACTCTGGCGTCATGTATATGACTCTGTATAGACCCCTATAATATCAAGAGAACACAGTGTCAAAGGAGGAGAATTCAAATAAACAAAACGAAACCATGACTGTTAGAAGACGTAAAAGAGAACAAGTCAGACACTTGGATGAGCAGTAAAAGGAAGGTAATGAAGGCAGAAGTAAGGCATTCCAGATCAGCAAGAAAGCAAGACAGTAGACAGTGGGACATGAGAATAAACAGATTTACTGCAGCCCTTAGATCTTGAAGGAGTAGTTGTAATGACTCTGACAAATACAGATTTAAAATCTGCTATTCCTATCTAAATCACAGCATAAAGCTGAGTCAGCAAGCTTCATCTCCGCAAATGCAGAGGGCACAAGCAAGTGGCTATATGCCTCCCAAATGCTCATAGTGGGTAAATGCAAACACTCTTGACTGACTGCCTGATTCTCAATATGAGCGAGGACCAAGACTTTGTTGTGACAGATCAGATGACACATTGCATCCCTCAAATACATCAGGAACTGCAACCCCAAGACGTTTAGACAGGACTTACGCTTTAATGCTGTCTTTGACGTCTTTTGACTGAGCCGAACCAAGCAAGCAAGATGAAATCCCTGACATTCTGCAGTAAAAAAAAAGCACAGTTATACACTGATTTACTCATAAATGCTTTCCACCTCAGGTTTTTGGGTTGGTTTTTTTTCTTCAGCCTACTGCCAGCATTTGGTAAAGTAAGTTCAAGCTACAGGGTCTGAGACTACTTTCTTCCAAGGATCTCCATGGAAAAAGCCTTTTTAAAAACAGTAGAAGTCAGTCACTATTCCTGACAACCACATGCTCATCCACTTCCCTCTCGTTGTCTCCCACAGACACATACTCCATTAGTGCAAGGAATCAGATTAAGAACATTCCTCTTTCACCCGCGTCAAATTCCCTACTACTGCGCTACATCAGACGTTTTAAGAAGCGAAGATGCCAGATATTAGGAGACCTATTTCACTGTCCATCTTAAACATCTGTGCTATTACCTTGATCTGGCCTTCATCTTCCATCTGCTCAGACATTAGTGATTAGACTTAAAAGAAGCCCAATGAAGCTTTGACATAGTTCTCACAGGCTTAAACAGTACACCAAGTTTGTTCAGCCATTTGTTCTCCATAAACAGAGCCTCTGAATACAGAAAGAGCTGAGAAGGATGCACCTTCAGGAACCACCCACCAGCACAGACCCTTTGCAAATCCAGCCTACAGTTTCCATAGCTGGGAATCACTAGAATACCAGTGATCTCAGGCAATTTATAGTTCGCACACATTTCTGGAGAAACGTATATTTCACAGCTGACACACAGACAGCTCTCCGTACAAAGCTGCAGCCTTAAACACTGTGAAATGCCACAAGTTGAATCTGTGGGTTTCCACATGAAACACAGCATCAGCCTGTTACTACTGCGTTACTTACGTCAGCTGCAGAACTTGGTCCTCCATCAAGGAAATAAGAGGACAGACGACTATTCCTGTACCTCCAGTATAAACAGGAGGAAACTGGTAGCACAAACTTTTCCCATATCCTTAAAAAAAAAGAAAAAAACACAAACATAAAAGTGAAGCAACATATAGTTGTTGTATTTTTTGGCAGAGTTGTCTTATACTTCTGTACTAACACCTTACTGAGCCCTAAAAAGCGTGCTCCATTAGCACACAAAAGACACAGGATAAATACTGTTAGCACCCACTCAATGTCACTCCCTCCAAGGTCAGTGGAAGAAGAACTGGACAGAAATACAAGCAGCAAGCATAGCTGGCCAAGATTAGCAGCCTCCAACAGAAAAGGTGAGTCCTGAGCACTCTGCTCCTAAAAGCCACGTGGACAGTCTTAAAGTTTCAAAGCCCTAACCTCCCCTAAAAGAGAAAGATTTCTTGCCACCTTTTAAGACATAAAAATAACTTACCAGTTGCCATGACAACAAGATTGTCTCTTTTGTCTTCTAAAACAGAATGTATCACTTTCCACTGAACCCTTTGAATTAAAGGAAGAAGAATATATTTTATTTTTGCCACCACATGTATAATATACAAATTGTGCTGAAGAAACCCTTTTGGCTGCCTGAAAGTTCTTTGCACGCTGCAACCACTCACACCATGTTTACTGCAGTTAGTCCTACCAGTGTAGGATCAGTGGGGATCTCTTACCAGGACTAAAGTAAGCAACTCTCGATGTAGTCATTTAAAGACAACTGCAAAATAATATCTCCCATATGTCAGTAAATGATCTACAAATACTCATGAAACTACAATTATCTTTCATAAAAGGATTCTAAACAGGACTTCAGCGTTGCCAATTTTGATTTTTTAATGGTCTCACAGGTATACATAATGTGCAGTGAATTAAAACAAAATTTCTCCCCTTTGTAATTTCTAACAGTTTACCAAACAGTTGTGGTTTGTTGTTTGTTTGTTTTGTTGCTTCTTCATCATTCAAGCCCCAAGCATTGCTCTTTCGTTATGTTCTGTGCAACATGTGCTCTAAAACAAGTCATTCAGGATGATTTCACTCCATTTCCATTGATATCAGGAACTCAATTCCAGCAATGCTAGAATCTATGAGCACACACTACACTGAAATTATGTCCTATTAGATGCTCTAGAGACAAATAGGAGCCTGTATTCAATTAGAGCCACATGTCAAAAGGATAACCAGACTAAGGAAGTTTATCACCATACAAAGAATACATTCGTGCAAGTTTACAGTGTTTTCTCTTTGAAATATCTGAGCTAGACCAGGTACAGAAACATTCACTTGCAGAAGGCTTGCCATCAGAAAAAGCAAGAAGTTTATCCTCTACTATGAAAATACAGTATTGTAGCAAAATAAAGCCCATTTGCTATTTCACTGTAGCAAAGGCTGTCTTCGCTAGGGATTTTGCACAGGTCCAAGTTTGTTAGTGGTTCTCAAAGTAGTAAATAGATTTTAAAAAGCTGAAAAAAGAAAAGAAAGTGAATTGAAAACATACTTACGGTTTAAAAGAAGAATGCCCAAAATACATCTTCAGACATGAGATGTGGATTTCACTAGGTACTGACAGCAACGGATCTTTAGGGGGAGACAGAAAAGGCCTTATATGCAACTAAATTTTAAACAGATGAAGCTTTGTCTTGACATCCTGCTTGTAGTTAGTGATATTTAAGCCTAAGCTTAGGACAACCCCAGCAGAAAAAGATACATCAAGTTCTGAACATATTTACAGGCTAAAATAAAGGATTAACAGAGAAACAAATACATACCTCAGAGACTCTTCATGAAGACAGAATACGGCAGTGTTAATGAGATAATAAAGTAATGGGCTCTGCATAACTACATTATGTGGAACACGCTCAGAAGAAGTAATAGAGATGTTCTACCATTCATCCCTTTTAAGACCTTGTGGAAGTCATGTTATTTAACACCTGACACTGCAATTTGCTAACGAAGTCATGGTCTGAAAAATGTCATAGGGGAGAACCCTGATCTTACTGTGAACGATGAAGAAAAACACTCAAGACTCCATTTAAATTTATAGCTATTACTCAGCAGTGAAATGCATTACATTTCCACCTAGTTTTTGTCTGCTGAGCAAACACATGTTCCCTGCAATCGTTTGCTGAGTAACTGTTTGAAGGGATGAAGAGAGTCTACTGATCATGGCAAGAGTCAACTGTGTTTCACCAAGGACACCTTTAAGTTTTCATCTTGACATATCCTCAATCACTCCTTTCAAAATCCAGATCAGCTTTTACTGTCTGCTTTAAGAAGCTAAGCACAAAATATCACTGTGTTTATACAACCAATTCTACAGAGAACACCTTCCTCCCCCCTCCATTATGCACTATAATTTAAAACATACCCCAACATTTCTCCTCCTCCTCTTCGATGACTTCATCTTCATCCTCATCTGGTGCAACATTCAATTCTGTGTCCGGAGTTTTCCTGGACTCCATTTCAGTTAAAATTTCTTTTGAATTGTCCACATCTTCTAAAGACTGAATTCAGAAGTTCAAGATATGAAAGGGTAGACACCATGCATACATGAGGTAACAAGACGCAGGGGAATGTGACTACAGCATGGAAGATGGACATGAAGCACTGCATCCATCTAAAAGTTCTGGTTCTTCCCTGGTAGAAAATTAATCCTTTCTTTCTATAGACCTTTCTATCCTGCCTCTCATGACTTGAGGTGCATGAATTCCATGGAATCAGGACAAAAAGCAGGGTAAAGAAAACACAACACATCTAAATAATCTTAAGTGCCTTAATGGTGTAACACTTTTTTCTCCAAGGCGCCTGCAAAGCATACAGCAACAAAGCAATCAATTTGACCTGTTGTTCAGATTAACAGCACCTGCAGTGGTCTGAATGTATGACACGCAGCAAGCCAACTGACATACAGTTATCAACAGAAGTGCTGGAAATGGGTAGGTCAAAAACCTAAGCTGCTACAGTGAAGATGTAACAAAACATGGAATATCAAGATCATAGAATCGCATGAGATCCTAGATGGTAAATGTAATTCTTCATCTACCCACATATTCTTCCATCCACCTTTTGTAAGCAATACCTATTTTTTAATTCCCTCCACTCAATGATGCTATGTTCCACTGTGACCGAAAAGCATCATCACTGGGGAAAAAACAGAAAGTGGATAAGCCAAACCCCTAAGGCACTCACTTTAAGCATCTCCATTTCCAGTTCTTCATCACTTTCAATGATACAGGAAGTATTTTGTTCATTGTCTATTGGGCATTCCTCCTAGGAAAAAAATACACGTGTAAAAAGATATTTCTATTTTTACCTACCTTTTGCTACAAACTATTCTTTGTATGAACTTACCTCTCAGTGGAAAAAAAAAAATAAACTAAGCTCAGCATTCATCTCTGAAGCCCAGCCAAAACAATGCAAATCTGCAAAGTGTTAAAACACAGCGAGGCCCTATAGTAAGAGGCAAAAACATCAGCATTCCCAAATGTGGGAAAGACTTGGAACACAAAGAAATTACGGCCTCATTTAAGAGGCATCAACCCACATAAAGCAGTCACTAGAAGGCTGTCATTTAGAGCTCCATTAAATATCTGCTTTTTATTCATGACCAAGGTTGAGATGTTTGAATGCAGAATTTGTCCCCATACTGCAGAAACTTCACATCACAATTCATGAGTAAGTACAAGAGGAAAGCTAATCAGAATATCAATTAATGAACTAAATGAGTATCAGCTTCCGTATTTAGTACTCCTCCCACCTACATAACTGAAGAGCAATTCAGTGCTTGATCACCTACAGAAATATTTTCCAGACTCTGAGTCCTTACTCTAGTCCACCCTCAATTGCTCTCACCAAGTTTCTTTAAAATCTTATGGGAAAGTAAGGATAAGATCAGCTCCTCTGGTGAGCATCCATGACTAACGAGGGACTTTCTCATTACCTCAGGCACAGCTTTATTGAGAACTTCTTCTGCAGCCTGACGCTCCAATATCTGTAGTTCTTGTTCATTAAAGTCTAATGACATGAAGTCATCTCCGTCTGCTGAGTTCTTAGAGCCAGCTGCTGTAGTCCCATCTTCAACAACAGCGTTACCTCCCTCTGCTTCACCTTCATCAACTTCTCCCTCCCAGAGGCCAGCTAGTGTAGCATCAGAGCAGATGTTGAAGTCACCTTCAAGCTTTTTAGCAAATTCAGGCAATTCACCTTTTTGTGCTTCAGCATTCATTGACTTTGCTTCAGGTTTGGTTGGAGTTGCACCACAGCTCCTCTCCAGTACAGAAGGAGAACTTGAACCAGCTAAGAGTGTACTTCCTAAGGCTTTTACGTTCTCTGATATGTCAGCTAATATTTCTGCAGACCTGGAGGGTAAAACAAGAAGTTGAACCAAAACAGTAAAGACTATTGTTACATACATCCCAGCTACAAACAGAAACAAGGATTCTAAAGCTTCTCCAGGTAGATTTTGTCTAAAATATCACATGCAAAAGCTTATCACGCAATTGCAATTAGCAATCTTCTGTCATCAGAAGAAAGATAAAATCTCTTCACGCTGAAGAAGACTGCAAAGACTCTCCATATATGTGTGTTGTACTGTCCCCACAATTCTAGCCCAGTCTCCAGATTTCTAAGCAGACACACAAGTCTGAAGTTCCTAGTTAAAAAGGTCTTGCTGGATCAACATGTGAGCATGTCAGCAAGAAAAAAAAACAGATTCAGCATAGTTCAGTGTCAAACCCATTGCAAGTAAAATCAGGGAAAATCTACGTTCTGACATATTAATGTACAAGGGTAAAAAGTTGCCCTCAAGTGAACTGTGCTTCCTTTTCTCGAAAAAAGATGCACAAATAACAGAGACAGCTATCAACTCATTTCGTGGTTCTGGACCTCAGCGATCAATATCAATCTCAAAAGATAAAGTACAACCAGGTTGATGAAAATCTAACCTCTGCAAATTTCTGAGTTGTCCAGAAGAATCAGAGATCTTGGAAGCCAGGTATACCATCTCTTCAGCTAGCGAAGTCAAGCGCTCCTTCACATCGTCTGACAACGCGTCATCTAGAAGAGGTGCCACTAGGGTTACTTAACAGTAATTCAGGTTTAACATCTACACACAAACAAGTTCATACAAGTCACTGTGTTTCCACCAGATCTACAGCTAGTAAGACAGTCTTTTTCAGCAGCCTGCTATAAACACCTACAGAAAGAGGACACAAAACAAGACCATTTTAAGTAGATTCTTCCCCAGAATACCCTCCAGCTTTGAGAAAGAAGCAACTGAGCAGGATGGAGTCTGCAGTGATCAGTCTGTCTGAACTCTGTCTTGTTGCTTTCTGAATTTGCTTGTATGCTTTACTTCACCAACTCGCATACCTACATGCGAACACACCGCTGTGTGCTAAATATGCATGCTCCTAGGACTTCAACTGCACCTACACCTGAAATCTCTTGGATTTTGCAGCTGTAAGAAACTAACTCATCATTCCATCTCAGTCTTCTACAGATGACTCAAGTGTTTGCTTTTTTGTTTCTTTTGTTGTTTAAGGTGTCCCATCTCCTCTTTCCAGCCAAAGCCTGGACACACAGACACTCCGCTTGCTAGCTTCAATGTGTACAGAGATGCACAAAGCTGCCAAGTACATTATTGTGGCAGAGTTCAAGTTCTTCACTGAGTTTCTTTTGCACAACTGGAAACTACCATCCCACTGACAGAAATTCAGTAATTAGGATGAGCAAACAATCTTCCTGATTGTCAATACAAGTTAATAGTCAGGCTCTTAACATCTTATGTGATGAAACCCTACTTGTTACACACGCTGTTGTATTAACACAGTGCCATCCCTCCATCCCACACTACTCATCAGCTGGGAGAAAAGCGTGCAGTGTGATCTTGAGTGCTGGGGAGCAACGCTGACATATCACATCAGAGACACCAGGATCCCTACTCATATACATCAGTAGAGATTTAGAAATAAGTTTGTTGGGTGTTCTTGTTGCTCATCTACAGGCTTTTGTTTTAATGAACACAATGCAGCTACCTGAAACATACAGCTATCTACTCAGCATAAGCACACTTGAAGATCGTTGCAGTAAGAGTAACAGAAGAATCCAGTTTAGTATATCACTACTGAGCCCTGTTCTCATGGAAAAAGAAGTTATTCCCATAGGTTTCAGATATCAGCCCTACCAAAGCTGAAAATATAGATGCGCTGATTAAACCAGAGCCAGAAAATTGTATCTCATAGTTAAAGAGAGAGTACTCCTAATTCCTACTCCTAACTGTTTGCAAAAATTCAGCCAGCACAAAAATGAAATAAACTTTTTCCCTTCTTTTTAAGCCATAAATTACAACTCCTTTTCAGCTTTCCTTATGTAAGTGAAGGACAACCAAGACTTTAAAATCACTTCTCTGATCAAACAGAGCTGAGCTGTTTCAAAACAAAGTTGGCACTATTTATATGCCACAAGTGTTACTTAATAATATGTGTTTATTTCGTGGTTTTTTTTCTTCTTAAGCCAGATTTTCCTCACTGGATCAGCAGAATTGGCATTAACTCACTGACGTGTTTCCAGAAACAAACTGGAATGACAGCAGGAATTCTTACAGACGCTTTATAATGCAGAGGCAAACAACGTACCAAGACTCATGTCTTGGCACTCTCATGTCACTGTGAAATAATAGTTGTAGAGTAACATAGGTTATCTAAGAGCCTTCACAGTCTAATCTATCTGAAAGCTGTCTCAAATCTCCCAAGAATCCAAAAGATTCTGACACATACGATGAAGAGAACTACTTGGAAATAGGATATATTCTTTATTCCTGAATATGTAATTTACCTCTTCTTTCCCCAAATAATTTCCTGTCAGTGCTATTCATATTTTTCAGTTTTTGATAAATGATGAAGCCAGCCTGCAAGTAAAAGGGAAAAAAAAAAAATTAATACCCTACAGAGAAACAACATTTCAAAGACTAAATTAAAAAAAGTCAAGAATTCTTTCAGCAAGCCATGGCATTAACTTATTGCAAATCCCATAAGTTCTGAGTTCTTGGGTCATGTCATACAACCAGCAGTCTGCCTTATTGCTTTGGTAATCACAACCACTTTACCTTTTACAAAAGGCAGTGTCCTGACTTTGGTCTGCATCACACTGGACACGTATGACTAGATCCCAGAGTGGTCACCTTATAGAGTCAGCCACAAACAAAGCGCTCTAAGTGCTCCTCCTCCAGTCCTACCATCTGCTCCACCTCACTCAGACTTTACGTAACGCTTTAAGAGAGCAGTTGTGAATCTACTAAGACAGAACTTGTTATGAATAACAAGGGAAACATTAAGCGCACAGAATCTAACAGGAAAACACAGCCTAAAGCCAGCAATGTGCTGATTAGGCTACAGATGTTAATAAAAGCATCTTAAAGACAAAAGAGAAAGGACTTACAGTCCCACGTTTCCCTGCAACGCTCCCAAAGGCAGGCTGGGTGGTAAAGACAGCAAAGCAAGAAAGAGGCTTTGCCTGGAAAAAGCTGGTACAAGCTGCTGCACCAAAATACAGCTGAGGATCAAAAATAGTGCTTCTTTCTTTATTGGTTTGGGTCCCACGTCTTCACAAGAGCAAAATGCTCCACAGCTTAATGTTTAACTAGAAAACATGCACTGCTTTCTAAGTCAGAAAAGAGAACAGGGAACATTGCCCATTTCCCTTTCTCTGTTTAAGCTGCCCACAGAAATAAAATCCTCAGGAGAGAAGAGATGAAGGGTGATATTCAAGCACTGTCACGAAGAAAGATCTTCTCCTAGGAAGCAGGTAGCACCCAGCTGTACATGGATAAATCTCTTTGCAGAACTTAGAACTGAAGGAACATCCCTGTCCTTTTAAAATGGTGAAAAAGCAGAGATATTTACAGAGCTACAATAATTCACATGCAAGTTGTCCCTGCTGAATTACCCTCTAGAGGAGGTTATATTTCTTCAGAGCTGCTCATTAACTTCATCTCATGTATCATATTTAGAAGTAGCTGAAAAAAATGGATTTTGGTCCATAAGCAGCTCAGAAAAGACAATTAAGAAGCCCCCAATAGAAAACATATCTGCAAGCACTAACAAACTACAGCAAACAGCAGCAGACAACAGAACCCAAGAAAAATTACTCCAAGTGCACTGAGCAATTATCATACTTAAGAAATAAGTATCAACTGTGTCATGTGAGATAATCGCTCTGAAAGACCTCAGGCTCACTCCATACACATGCAGATAAAATTAACATGATCCCTACATCAAAATTCACTTCCTAGTCAGTCAGTCCAAATGGACAGAAATTCCTCTGACGTACTTTTTGATGCCTGTATTACTTAGCACATCCAGATAACAGCAGAGCTTCCAAGAGATCTGATTCACAAATGGGCTTCAAGAAAAAGGCAAATCTTGCAATGTCATACCACCACCTTACAAGAGGCTCAAGGAATTCTGTGGAACTGAGTTTCTCTTTTCTTTCTACATTCAATTTTATACATGAAACACACAACATAATATGTTCTTCAAGTTACTTCAGTAACCTGTCTCATTGCTGAGTCAAATACAAGAGGTAGCATCTTCTGCATAGAAGATATTACGACAGCTCTAGGCAAACACTGCAGATTAAAAAGCAAATCAAAACAGACAAGGAATCAGACTGTGAACTATGCTGTAGGATTCACACCTTCAAATATCTAATATCCACTTTAGACCATGGAACATTTCAGCGTTCAGAATGATCTGTTACAGAAAGGCATTAAAAACAGCAGCAAATAGCATGCTAGAGGAAGTGGTAATAGACTTTTTTTTGCACGTACATAAGCATCTGTGGCTGCATACAACTTCTGCTCCTCATCGAGTGGAAACTTTACCCAGTTGCCACAGCGGATAGACTTATCTTTCAGAAGCTGCTTTCCAAAGAGGTGTTTTACCAAGCCATTTAGACTCCATACCTCCTTACACTTCAGCTGGGGGAAAAAAAAATAGTTGTTAAAAGGGGAAAGTAACCGTGTTTGTCAAAACATAGTCACAGGAACCACAAAGCATACCTAATACTTCAGTAGAAGCACAGAGTGCTCTAGATTAGTCAGAACAAATGAGGTCTTCAAAACAGCAATTGTTCTTTAGGCCTTGCTCTGTTCTCATCATATTGGCCATTGGGAACCTCTAGTTTCCACTCCTGAAACTACACTGTCGCAGGGCATCCCTGCATTATCAAGCTGGAAAGATTACCCTAGCTTCAGGTGAGTCCATGTGCTGTGAGGAAGTGCAACAGCACATGCAAAAAAGAAACATCTGTACAATGTAGTACAAGACTGATTAAACAAAAACCTGAAACTTAAACATCAACCCGTCTCTCCTCCAGGATTTTTACATCAGTGTTTGTAAATAATAGCAACAAGATTTAATAGAAAAACAGGAATATCAAAGTCAGCTTGTAACTGTTTTGTCATCTATTGCAAGTTTGAGAAACCAAGCATACATCAAAGACAGCAGCTTTATACCATGCTAACCATTATTCAACATACTGCAAAGCATTCTTGGAAGACTCCAGAAATCACCCTGCTATGCTGCTGTTTTCAATTGCTTTCATAATCACAGTCATCAATCACAGCTGCTATGCGCTATTGTCTGGACCGGCTCTCTCAGAGTTTGGGCAGCTTTTCTTCCAGCTCCAAGGCTCACAGGCACAGATCTCCTCTATTCTAACCCAAGAGCACTTGCAGAACATGCAGACTGTCAAGTCCAGCAGCAGTAGCAGCAGTTTGGCATTATCAGTTCCTCCCCTTGAAATGGGAATCAAAAGCCTACCAATGGCTGATTCTAGGCCCCCTCCTCTCCTCCTTCCATTGTACCATTACATCAGATGTTATTCTTTGTTCTCTCAACCTTCACTGTCAAGTTCATTTTTGGTCTGTTATCTCCTTAGCAAAAGACTTCAAGGCTGCGATCAGAGACCACAATTGCTTATCCTCATAAAATACCCTGGAGTTAGATGTTGAGAGATTAAGAAAAAAAAAGCATGGGGGTGAAACGTGGAAACTCCAAGTCTAAAAAGAGCTTTTACTGCTTGAGCAAACTATTTACTCTGCATAGTTTCCAGCCCACAAGGAACTGAAGCTTCAAAGCATCACAGCCCTCTCTCTTCCATCATAATGGCACAGGTTTACCTACGCCAGACAGAATCGAAGTAGCATCCAGCTACACTGTAATTTGGGATGTGCCTGACATAACACTGCTCCTAATCAGGCAGGAAGTTGCCCCATGTGAGCAGGTAGCACCAACTTCAGAGCCACAAAGGAAAATATCTGCAGTGCTGCATGTCAGGTGACAACCAGCTCTAGACTGGAGAATGGCACAAGAGTTGGCCACATCAGACACCGTGGGTTTGGCCACTGCTGGGACACGTATGCCATGGCTGACAGAACCCCAGGGTGACACAATCTGGCAATCTTCATCATTAGTAAATGTAAGAAATGCATTTGCAGCTGGATTGAAAAGGCTATAAACGTGAACAGATCTGAGAAGAGGGATGTATTCATTAAGAACCAGCTCACTGAAACACACAGCTTAATTCTGAAGACCTGGAGTTCTCCAGAAATAGGAACAGGTTTTTTGTTTGTTTGTTTGTTTTTTTAAAAGCTGTACCATTTCTCTGCATTATTGTACAGAATATGCTGTAAAGATGAGGAAGCCTCCTTTCATTTAGCACATTAATAAAGTTCCCTCCCAAAACAAAAAGGTTTTAAGCTTTACTTTCTCATTAGCAATGTCAGCCAGCTCCACAAAGCTCTTCAGTTTGACTTCAAAGTCACTCATCAGCTTCCAGTGATCTCCCTCAATTCCTACGCCAGCCTTTTTAATTGTTTCATCTTCCAGCAGCCTTTTGAGTCCCTTGGGGAAACCTAGAATAGATTAAGCCCAAACATGAGAAACTAGATACTGAAAGATATCAAATAGTCGAATGGAAATGACAAAATCTAGCACAAAGGCTGCTTGCAAAAACCTGTTCTTAAGGAGGAAACACTCAAGAAGTTGCTATGTTTATGTTCCTGCTCGTGCACTGGGATGACAAACACCAATTTGCTGTAAGGTATCATCTGAAGCAAGCAGCAGTAAGATCTCTCAAATGTGCAAATTCATTTGGTATTCGAAAATAAATTAAATAAAAAAAAAAAAAAGAAATGACCTCATTTTATCTGTCTAACTGATCAGCAGAATGCTTGACAATGAAAAAAGCAACCCCTCCATAGAGAAAAAAATATTTTAATCCTCAGCTCTGGATGCTCATGCATTATTTATTTATATGCTTTACTGTTTTCCACACAACATTCTTCCCCAATTAGTTCTGCTCCACATTCAGAGGAAGCACTAACCCAAAAACATGGGGAATGACCAGGAAGACTGATACTGCGTATGCACTTTCAGTGCGAACTGTGGGCCGGTCCAAGAACATATTTGGAAAACAAAATCAACCAACCACATCCTCCACAAAAGCTCAGATAAGTCAGTCTTGTGGGTAAAAGAAAAAATGAAGTCATGCAAGCATGCAAACAGGTACTACGTGTTATATTTTGATTCAGCCCAAACTGATCACACAGCAATCCTGGATCAAATGGCATTTTCAAGTTTACAGAATCAGGCAAAAACACACAGCTTTCATATCTGCTTCTGCAGGAGCATCTTATTTAAATATATACTTTCAGGAACACAAAGCTGAATACCCTGAATTATTCTTGAGTGTAGTTCTTCTCTCTACAGATATGTGCTACTCATAATTTACCATATATACACTAGCACTTAGGATCTGGCTTGGCTTTGATTTACTATCACATTTTTGCTACTGTAATAATTACTTCTGCATTTCAAGAATCTCTTTGCATCACTGATCATAATGACCTCTGTACTTGTATGGATTCTGCTGACACACTACAGACACATGTGCAGCCATAACAAGCAGCAGGGTGCTGAGGACTGCAAAGTTGCAGCTCAGATACGAGTCACCAGAAAAGTTACTGTTCTTCACAAAGAACTGGGGTATCCAGAGCACCTCCACCATAATGCAGCACAGCGATTCCTCTGAAGAGGCAAATCCAGGCGAGCTGAATACAGGCACAAAGTAACTGCAGCTGACTTACTGAACGAGGGATTTCCTCTGTCTAAAAATATCATGAAAATCTTCAAGGGTGATAACTGCTGCTCCATTTCTTCCATCTCATTTCTAGAAAAAAAGTACTGTATGATCTAAAAAAGTCTGGGTTCCAGACCATTCAGAAGTGGAGCGTTATCAAGAACCTTCTTGATAATTACATATAGTTAAATTTTATCCTTTATGAGATGTGCTTATACACAGACCACCTTCCTGCAGGAGAAAGTATTTTTATTCTTCCCCAATGAAAAGTGAAAAGCCTTGCCTAACATCTAAATTTTTGTAAATCAGTCATTCTGACTAAGCAAAACTTGGCAGTGGTGCCTGCCAAAAGGCTGGCATCACACCCAGTTCAAAGTGCATCTTTTTTTGGCATAAAGAAAAGCTTTAAAAGATTATTTAGGCAGAAACACCATCTTCTGCTGCTACACACTTAACAGTAGCACATATGCAACCATGCCTGGCATCAACAGGCAAACAAACACCTTCACTTCAGAATCAAAAGCGTTCCAGCTCCAAAGATCTCTCCCCCCTTGGCTTCCTTTCCTCAAATCTCTCTTCTGTGCATCTGTACATTTCTGCCTCCTGGATTGAACAGCCTCCGGCAATTAAATTTTCCACCTCATTTGCTATAAATGACAAAAGACCGAACACCAACATTTAAATTATCGCTATTATACCTCAGCATGCACGCCCCAGGGAAATCAGAGACATCTCACAGGCACAGTTTCAATCTAACATTCAAACCAAAGGTTATAAAATTGCAGCCTCCTTCCCCGCATTTCTATTTTTCCAATTTGGGTGCTTTTATTCACAGTCATAACAGATTCAGAATGTTGAGCATACATCCCCCTCTCCCCACAGCTGCCTCACACCAGGTATTCAGTATTCCTTCTGGGAAAGAATGGCACAAAAATAGGAAGAAGCAGCATGATGGCCATCATTTTTGAGGGGTTTTGTTACTCAAGCCAAACTAAGAGGAAAGAGCCTGCTAAATTTAGGTGCTCTGTTTATTTTGGCACCAAAGAGATGAAAGCTCATTATGGGAGCAGGGAATTCAATTTTTGAAAACTAAATGAAAATATTCTTTCCCGGAAAGAAAAAATAATCCTTAATTTTTTTGCCCTTCTCAAAACCTAAAATGCTGTACTCTAGATCTGTGCTCAAGCTTTGGACTAAAGACGCTGTAACACACAGTTAATGCTCAGTGAGTCACTCCCTGCTTTATACCCAGCAGTGGGAAAAAGATGGATGAATTTTTTAAAACTTCACTATCAAACATAATGTGAAATATGCTACTGCTTGATGCTAAGGTTCCTAGTAAACCACAAGAAAGAGAGAGCCCCAAGTAATAGGAATAGAGGAAGTACAGTACCTGACATTGAAGAGATGTGAAACAAATAACATTTTTCCTCGGTTACACATATTTGGATTACAGCTATTTTAGCCGTTTTTCCCTTAGTGTATGATGGCGGCCATTCAATATCAAATCCAACTGCAGCCCCATCTGATAAAGTCTGCCTGAAAAGAAATGGATATTCCTCACATTTAACTATTTTTCTACCAGCATGTAGAATAGCATGCTTGAGTCATCCCACGAACATGATTAAGGGAAGCACAGCTAGTACATCTTTTCTTTCACATGTTTAAGACACAGCAATTATTTTACTACTAAGACCCTAAGCAAGTGAAATTCCTGCTGGTACAGAAAGCTACACTGCAACTCCCAAACCAGACAGATTTCTAGCAGATCTCAAAGTACACAGATGGCAGCATAGCAAGCCTCAGGAAACAGCCAGATACAAAAGGGGATATAATAGTTTCCAGTTCCTTGAAAGCTTGCTTTTTATTTATCATGCTACAACAGAAAGTTCTGTACACAACTTCTTTCCCTAGTAAGGTAAGCTGTGCTATGCAAGAACTGGGGAAAAATACGTATTTGCATCACGAATGAATGACCTTCAAACCTACGCTCCCGTTATGAAATAACATATACACCTGATTTATTGCAACTCTTATTTCCCAATGAAGTCAGCGAAGCTCAAGAAACTATAAATACCATGAAAAGCAGAGAAACTGCAGTAGGGCTTTTCACTGTATGCTTCCTCTTAAAGTGCCAGGGAGTGCCAGGTGCAGCCAGGATATCTGCCAGAAGAAGTCCAACCAGGGAAGCTACAACTGCGCAGCACGCTGGAAAGAAGTGTTCTGAAAACACTGCTTGTTGTAGATGAGCCTGGGTCATCCTCAGAGGGACAATTCACTGTCACCAGGAATAGGTTCAGCGTGTGCTTACAGCCAACACACAAGGCACGTTTGGCATGTAGATCAAAACAGCCTGTGCAACCAGATGTTTCCTCTGGTCAAACCATTCAACTCTGGGCACCTCAAATGCACAATCAGCAATAAGAAGTAGAGAGAGAATAACCAATCCCTTTTCAGAAAGTAAAGGGTACTCCAAAGGAACAGAGAAAGCTATTACCTGATGTCTTCTGAGAGAAGGGAGCAGTCACTGGCTTCATAGCTGTAAATGATGGAGCCACGGAACTCTAGGAATGGCAGCCCATCTTCCAAAATGCTCCTCTGAACATTAGGTGTCTGCAGGACAGCATTTGGGAAAGACTATTACTGGTCAGACGTAACCTCAGCAAAGAGACACAGCAGCACCACAGCCATTGAGTGCTGCCTCAGTGCTGTACCCCAGCAAATCCAGCACTGGTATGGATGACACATAAGAGTTCAGACCGCTGGTCTGTTCTGTTTCCCAAACTTCAAGCACTCGGACTGAAAGCCTGCAGGCTGAATTCTCACCTCCATTTTATTCTCTGCATTCTTCCAGCCAAAGAGATTCAATAGCTTTCAACAACAAGACTAGAGAAAACATTTATTTCTGTGTCAAAAGCTCCTCAATGCTATTTTTAAATGCTGCAGCACTTCCACACTTCAGACATTTGACAGAAGAAAGGAGTGATTTACAATAATTTCTTAATTTAAGTAATTGAATTATTCAAACCCATTCACCTATAATCCTTGGAAAAAATCCCTATTTCAGTACGGATTCAATGTAAACCAGTACCTCACAAGCACATCAGAATTTCTAAACTGTGCCACAAAGCACAGAAGCAAACCAAGAATATGTGAAGAGGACACTGAAGGAACAACATGAAACAAGATCTGCAGTTCAGTGCAGTTGTGCACTGAAGAAGCATGGGGCTACAAGTGTTTGGCTGTACCACACAGCTTTGTTTCCTTATTTCCTTAGTCCCACATCTCAACTAGCCCACTGCACTTCAAGCCAACAGATCTCTGTGAAGTTCCTTATGCATGAAGTAAATATTTTATGCTCACACAATGAAACATTTGTTTCAGTTAACGAAGGGTTAAAGTTTAACCAAAAACTGCTGGCTTTAACTTACTAGAAAGTCAAAGTGCAAGGTCCTGCACTAGGGCTGGGGAAACCCCAAGTAGAGATACGGGTTGGGTGGAGAATTGCTTGAAAGCAGCCTTGAGGAAAAGGATCTGGGAGCGCTGGCTGATGGAAGACTCAACATGAGCCAGCAATGTGTGCTTGCAGCCCAGAAGACCAACACTACCCTGGGCTGCATCAAGAGAAGCATGACCAGCAAATCAGGGGAGGTGATTCTGCCCCTCTACTCTGCTCTTGTGAGATGCCACCTTGAGTACTGCAACCAGTTCTAGAGCCCCCAGCACAAGGACATTGAGCTGTTGGAGTGGGTCCAGAGGAGGGCTACAAAGATAATCAGAGGGTGCAGCACCTCCCCTGTGAAGACAAGTTGAGAGAGCTGGGGCTCTTCAGCCTCAAGAAGAGAATGCTCCAGGGGGACCTTATAGCAGCCTTCCAGTACCTGAAAGGGGTCTATAGGAAAGTTGGGGAGGGACTTTTTGTAAGAATATGTAGCGACAGGTTGAGGGGAAATAGCTTTAAACTGGAAGAGGGTAGATTCAGACTAGATATTAGGAAGAAATTGTTTACTGTGAAGGTGGTGAGGCCCTGGAAGGGGTTGTCCAGTAAGGTTGTGGATGCCTGCTCCCTGGAGGCATCCAAGGCAAGGCTAGATATGGCTCTGAGTAACCTGATCAATGAGAGGAGCTGGAACTAGGTGATCTTAAAGTTCCCTTCCAACTCAAACCATCCTATGATTCTGTGAAATAAAGCCTATGCTACCAGTTCCTACTTATCACCTAATGGAAGAAAAACTGCTGAAGTGAGTCTTCTGCTTTTCTCTCATGATGTAGCTTTCTAATTATCAAAGCAGTCTGTGATGCCACAGGGCCGTGTCCCTTCTAGTGGGAAATCTTATACCTAAAGTTGCTTATGTGTGCAGAGATAAATGCATCCAAGGACACGTTAGCATTCTTGGAAAACTAGAAATTTAGATACAATCTTTATGATATATTAATCCCTCTGAGCAGGAAAAGAGGCACCACAAGGACACAGCCCCACGCTGCTTTGTTACACAGCCTAACACCAAATCAATTTCCCCCCCTTATGATAGCATACCTTCTTATCACTCAAAATGCCCTCCTGGTTACGTGCACGCATCCACTGGGGATACTTACTCTCCAAATCCACTTTATTCATTTTATCCACATTCGTGTTACCTTTCCATTAAAAAATAAAGAAATTGATTAGTCAAAAGCCCGTACAGAGTGTAGCTATCAGCACGATGAGGCCAGAACGAGATGACCTGGGCGGTAATCAGCCCTCCGGACACAAGGAAGGGCGCTCGAAGCGCTGCCACGTCAAACCGTGGTAGAACAGTAAAGGCTCTACTGCTGCCAGGCGTCCACCTACCGGCCGGGCCCCGGGCGAGGAAGCGGGCAGCCCGGGGCCGGGCCGGCAGGCCCCACAGCGGCACCCGCCCCACAGCTACGGCCTCCCCGCAGGACAGCGGATCGGCTCCCGGCGCAGAGGCCGTGCTGACGGACGCCGCCCGGGCAGACCGAGGCTCTCAGCCCGCGCCTTCCCGCCCCCCGCTCGCGTGCCGCGTGTTTCCACAACACCGGGCCGCTCCCGCCTCAGCGGGGCGCCGCGCACCCGCGCCGCGCCCTGCGCGGAGGCACGTTAAGGCGGCAGCAGCCGCGGCGCTCACCGGGCCCCGGCTCCGCGCCCATCCGGCCCGCGCGTCGCACGCTGACCGCGTCACCAAAACAGCCTCCCGCCGAGCGTCGCCCCGCGTCCCCTCTTGCGGCGGCGGCGGGAGGTTACCCGAGGTGACGCGCGTGCGCGGCGGGACAGGCGGCCGCGGGGCATTGTGGGCGCTGTAGTCCCGTGGCCGGGCGGGCCGCGCACCCTCCGGCGAGCCGGCGGCGCCCACCGCGTTGCCGCCGCCGCCGCCGCCGCCGTCGCCCTCGTTCTCCACCGGGCGGGGCCGGGCCGGGCCGGCGGGGCGGGGCGAAGCGGAGCGGCGGGGGTGCGCCAGCCCGGGGCTCTGTGCGGCGGGGGGCGGCGGGGCCGCCGGCTGCGGGCGGTGGCGGCGGCGGGTGAAGGGCAACGACGGCGATGGGTGCTATGGGGTGAGTTGGGGGCAGCGGCGGGGGGAGGCGCGGCGCGGAGAGAGCAGGAGGGGCTCTGGCGAGCGGTGCTGGGGGCACGGCGGGAGAGATGCGGTGCTGGGGGGCGCCGGGAGACTCAGCCGGGGGCGCACGGGGGCCCTTGTGGGGGCACTGGGGAGCGACGCTGCGGGGATGCGATGCTGGGGAGCGCTGCGGGGCACGGACGGACCTATGGGGGCGCCGGGAAGCGCCACCGGGGGCATCGAGGAGGAGATGCGGTGCTGGGGGGGCAGAGGAGCCGGGCCGGGGGCACCGGCGGGCAGGATGCCGGGGGCAGCGCTGGGGACGGTGTCCCCAGCTGGGGAGGGAGGCGGTGGAGCACCCGGGGGAGGGGGAGGCGCGGCGTCCAGTGGGGTGGGTGTGGGGGTCAGGGTGCGTGGGGTTGGGAGGGAAACGGCTTGGGGTGGCCGCCACGGGTGGGCCGGGGACGCGGGGAGGTCTGTGGCACCGGGGGCCCTGGTGCGCGGTCATCAGTACTGAAGCAAAAAGGTCACGGGAGGTGCGAGGAGGCAGAACCGAAGGACACGGGGCCGGCGGCACTGGCTGCTGAGAACGGGGTTCAGGGGGACACGCGGCCGCCAGGGTGGGGAACGGAGTTTCGACGGGGGCAGCTGGCAGCGGGGAGCTGGGATGTAGGCAGCAGCATGGGTAGGGGGAGCAGCAGCGAGCAGAGCCGCCGACGGGAAGCAGAACAGGCCCCTGGTGCTGATGTTGTCATCTGCGTCTCTGTTATGTGTTATTTCCAGCTGATTGGTAAAGATGGAAAGAGGGAGAGGAGGAGGAGGAGGTGGAGGAGGAAGGAACGTAGGGGGCTCTGGCCTGCACAGGAGCATCTATTCCCAGTCCCAGCAGCAGTACCATTACACGGCCCCCTCTCAGGGGGGCTGCATGGAGATCCAGGAGCTGGCCTCCAAGAGGGTGGACATCCAGAAAAAGCGGTTTTATCTGGATGTGAAGCAGAGCTCCCGGGGCCGATTCCTGAAGATCGCAGAGGTCTGGATCGGGAGAGGCAGGCAGGACAACATCAGGAAAAGCAAGCTGACGCTCTCCCTGTCCGTGGCTGCTGAGCTGAAGGACTGCCTGGGCGATTTCATTGAGCACTATGCCCACCTGGGCCTGAAAAGCGGCCACAGGCACGAGCACAGCAATGGCAAGGAGCAGCACTTGAGGCAGCGTCAGCAGCACCCGCCGCCCTCACCCTCGGGCTCTGTGGGCTCTGAAGAGCACCCTCATAGCGTCCTCAAAACAGAGTACATCGAGAGGGACAACAGAAAATATTACCTTGACCTGAAGGAGAATCAGCGGGGCCGCTTCTTGCGGATCAGGCAGACGATGAGCCGGGGACCTGGCATGATTGGTTATTTTGGCCACAGCTTGGGACAGGAGCAGACTATTGTCCTTCCGGCACAAGGGATGATCGAGTTCAGGGATGCTTTGGTCCAGCTGATTGAAGAATACGGCGAGGGGGACATGGAGGATCGCAGGGGTGGGGGAGATGAGCCCCCTGAGCTGCCTGAGGGCACCTCCTTCCGGGTGGACAACAAGAGGTTCTACTTTGATGTGGGATCCAACAGGTATGGCATTTTTCTGAAGGTAAGTGAGGTGAGGCCACCCTACCGTAACACCATCACAGTTCCATACAAAGCATGGACAAGGTTTGGGGAAAATTTTATCAAGTATGAAGAAGAGATGAGGAGAATTTGCAACAGCCATAAAGAAAAAAGGATGGATGTCAGAGGGGACAGTGGTGAAGAGCAAGAGGGTCTCGAATAGAGTGCACTGAACTGGCCGTCTGGCAAAATAAAACAAAAAGCAGATATTGGTGAGAGGGACTGATCTATAGTAATTTGAAGTTGCCCCTTTTTTTTTTTTTTTTTTTGTAAAGTCCTTTTCTGGTAGTCAGTACATAATGTTATGGGAGTCTGGTTATCATGCTATATTACACCCAAAATATCTCTGTATTTCTTAAGAAAGTACCAACCTCCCAAGTCTGTATGAGTCAGCTTCTTTGAGTGTGTAAGACTATGAAAGTATGTGTATCAGCACAAAAAAGACGGCATTCTGACCTTTAAATAGTCTAGATAAGGCTTGTGTTGCACTTCAGCGTGGTGCAAAAAAAAAAAAGCCCTCACACTGAAATGTATCGGTTTCTGCTTATGGCATTTTTTCTGGAACTGAATTCTGCCTGTACTCGGTAAGAAGGCTGAAGAGCTGAGCCATAGGGCACTTACTGCAAAAACTGTCTTCATGTTAATTGTTCAGACATGTATGAGGAGAGGGAGATGTTTAAAAATTGGGATCTGCTGGTTACTGAGTTTGAAATGATGTTCTTTGTGGGAGAAATCTCAATAACCAGTCAGACCTTTAATACTGTGCTAGTGGAGAGCAGACGATTTGTTATTAATCTCATAGTTTTGTGCTAAGCAAATAACCTGAGTATCCCAGGATATGAAACTGTGCTCAAGTGCTAAGCCTTCCAAATTAATGGCAACAAGTCGTAATCCATTCTTCATCTCCGTGTTCTGCCCACACGGGGCTGATGATTTTTTTAATGCATTCCTCAAAATTTCAAAAGCTATTTTTGTAGCCGGGGTGTTGTGGGTTCTGGCAGGAGGCTGTGGAAAGGGTGTGCTGAGCCAGATGGCTGCTGTGATTGAGGTTCCAGGGTTCCCTCCCAATTGTGAGATGAATGCGGCCACAATGTTACACACATGAGGACAACAACTGGGCATTTCTCTCCTCCTGCTGGGAGGAAAACCTTTGGGGAGTTTGGTGCACTATTTGATTCGTATCTCAAAATGCATCTCTGTCCTATTGATCTGTAATGCATTTTCAAAGCCATGGTTAAGGCTACATCAGATTTTCTGTCACGTTGATTTTACAGATGTTATTAGTACAACATAAGACCAGTGCCCTGCCATCACCTCCTTACCGCCCTGTAGAAGCTGGAGCTGAAATCCAGCAGTTTGATGCCTGGTTATTGATTGCTAGCTTTGTGCAAAGTCCACTGGCAGCTCTGCAACCTGCACCTTACAGTCCCTGTCAGAAGAATTCTCTGCTGGGAGGGAAAATGCATAGAATTACCAGGCCTGAAGACTTTGAAAATTCTTGGTTATTTCTTAGCAAATGGATACATATCATTCAAGGGGCTTTTTTCAGCCATTGGGTGCTGGTTCCTCTCCTTCTGAAATCATTGGGAATTTGGTTGAGCTCCAGGTACTTTAAAGAATGTGTTGCCCACCTTTAAGGTTTGTTTGAAGGATGTGTTACTCTGACTAGTCAGATATTTATAATCACTTGCATTGTATTTTGCAGAGTGGCCAAGTGTGCACGTGGACCAGATGTTTTCCAACTCAACCATTCCACTTTTTTTTAAAATCTGTTCAGAAAGGTATTTATCTTCACTCTTAGTCTGGACCCACCTGCACGCTGCATGGCCACGCTAAATCCAAAAGCTATTGCCTGTTATGATATTAACTATAGGAAGATAAGCTGGGGAGGCAGGGGTGGGATTTGAGAGGATAATCTGGACTTTACTTTGGGTACCAATAACAGTCAATCTGTTTTAACTTTAAAAAAAGGAAAAAAAAAAAGAAAAAGAGGGAAAAAAAAAAAAAAAAGCTTGCATCAAAATCACCAAAGAATCTTTAGGAAATGTCACAGTTGTGACAGAAAGTAAGAAAGTTAATTTCACTGTTTTAGGTGATTCGCCCTTTACATAAAACTACATATAGCAGTTACAGCAAGCAAACATTTGGCTTAGTGTCACAACAACCATCCATTTCTGCACAGACTGCTCTTTCAGGTACTTTTTCAAGTCTGTAAGACATTTTCTCATTCCACCACTTGAACTGCTAGCAGACCACAATGAATCAGCTAGAGGCATTATGGGGTACTGGTTCATCTTTGCTTCTAGGCTTTGGTCGCAATGTTTTTAACAGGTTTGGTTAGCAAACAATTACAATAACTTCTCGTCCCAGTTGGTGTGAAACCAGAGTTTAGCAAGCAAGTCCTGGATGCACAAGTCAGCACGTCGCTGGCTGCTGCTGCCCATTACAGTGCCTGGAGTAACAATGAACTTATCACAGATCCTAATCAACTGGAGCTATGAATGTACAACTCTTTTATGCCCGCCTTCCTGCTCCCGTGTGGCACCCCTCCCCTACGCGCTCGACATCTTCCAGTCCAAGCCCACGTCTGTGTCAATGCATCGTAAAAGCTGCCATGTTAGAATTTGCTTAGGTTAGGTGTTGTTGTAAGTGGTCATGCATTCCTTCTGTTCCTTTGGTGTTAGTAAGGAAAATACTTGCAATGGGCAAAGTGATTGAAAAGGCCTGTTTATTATGTCTTTTATTATCATGTCTTTTGCTTTAAAGAAAAAAAAAAAAAAGATGAGATGCAAAATGGCTTTTGTTATTGCTACTCACTTGCCATTTTGACAAGAGGGTATCTAAATGCAGCTGGCTGTATCTTAGTAAGACTAGTATCTCTGTGTGTTTAACCCATTTGTTTTTTTTTAATCTTTTTCCTGAGTTAATTAATTGGCCTTCTGATTGCATTAGTGTACTGTAAATAGCAGCCAGGAATCCAGTGCTGGCTGTGCGGCAGGGCTGGTTCCACGGGATTCACTAATGCATGTACTCTCCCCGCGTGGGATGCACCTTAGTATCCAAAACTGGATGGGATCTTCAAGTTCACAGCCGACTACCAATGGGTAAACCACTAGCAACAGGTTTCCACGGAAATGTAAAGCACTGGTGCTTGCAAATATTGTCATTGGAGGATAAAACAGACCAATTCAAAATGTAGCAATGCAAGATTGTACCAGTTAGATTTGGAAACGGGTTCATCATTATTTTTGGCAGTGCATTTTCAACCTCTGAGAGCAGCAATAATGTAGGCTGCTTGTGTGCAGAAGGGCCCGTTGCAATGCTTGGGAATGCTGTGTTCCTCATGCATTTCAAATGTTCATTCTCTGTGCCCTAAAACTGCCATGTCCCTTAAACTTGAGAAAACACAAGCTTATTTGCACTAGAAAGTACGGCCAAAAAAAATTCTAGGAGGACAGGGTGAAGAGTACCAATCTGAACCTCTTTTCTCATGAGAGAATTTCCTATTAAAGTCCTCACCTCTGTTTCAAAATTGTATGGTCCAGACAGAAGTCTGTCAGTTCAATAAGAAAAGCCTAATGCACTTTATACTGTGTAAATAATAGGAGCACATTTCTGCCACTGGTCTGGCAAGGGTGCTTCAGCATTGTAATCTGAATCTAGAAGAGGTCATACCCTGCATGCACATGTCTGATATGGACCTGTTGTACCTTCTTGACCCAGTTCCTGGACAGGTGCGGTAGTGCAGATCCTCTGAGCTCATCAAAGCGGGACACTGAGATGTAGTGCGCAGTGCTGCTGAACAGCCTGAGCTGGTGGCAGTGCCTGCTGTGGCTCTCTGGCAGCTTAGGTCCGTTCCGAATGCTGTTGCTGAGCCTGACAAACAAGATTTTCACGGCCACACCAAGTTCTTGTGCTTAGCTTTCCCTTCCGTTGGCGCAGACGCTCGTGCCGTCCCTCAAGGGCTTGTTTTGAGAAAAAGGTGTCATGGAGGCTTTGCCAGCTGACCCCCACCTGCTGTGAAGAAGCTGCCTTTCTTGGCAAAGGACTAGCAGAGCAGCACACTGACAAAGGGCTGGAAGGCTTCCTGTGGCCAGGTTCCCCGCATGGCACTGCGAGGAGGTGACAGAAATCACATCTTGGGGATACGCATGGTGGGCTCCACCCTGAAAGATGCAGCCGTGGCAGTAATCTGCTCTTTGTCGTGTTTCTTGTATGTACTCAATATATAAAAATTCATATACATGTATAGGCGTTAATATATTTATGTGAGTATATTGTAGCCTGTAGTAGCTCATAACAAAATAATCTATTTATCTGAAGTACACAGTCTAAAGATGGGGCTTAAAAGGCAGTTTCTCATACTATCAGTTTGGATAAGCGCGTTATTTCACTGAGAGCACTTTGCCTGCTGCTTATCATGGCCCTTTTAAGATTTTGGCTTTTAAGCACTTTCATCTCTTAGGTTTTCAGTGAGGCTGCGAGGAAAATATAGGCAAAAGAAGGGAAAACTTTACTTCGAGGCACAGTGCAGGAAAAGCAAGAGCTGCAGGTAGCAGCCAGTTGCTGCCCCACGGGTCACGTTGCATTCCCATGCCATTTTAAAATCCCTCTACTCTGCAAACCTCTACATTCATAAAATATGCCATTGTAAGGATAAAAAACCTGTCCTTTATTAAAAAAAAATCCCAATCAATTACCAAAATCAGAGTTGGCATTCCATTTTTTTTTCTGCTGAAGATATTGTAGTCTAATGGTTATACCATTTATTTCCCAAGGCCTGTTCTGGTGACCTAACCCTGTGGGAAAGGCAGCTGGTAGTGGCCAGGAAGCCTGCTGCTTGCTTGACTTGCAGCTCTTTTATCCATGTGTATTAGTTTTTCTAGCAGAAAAGAGTTTATTAGTGTGTATTTTTATTGTGCAGACTTTGCACCCTATGTAAAATTAATGAATAAGCAGGTTTTAGTTCTAGTGCATACTTTTTGCTGTACATATGGTATATATATATACATTTTAAAATAATTCTTAAAGAAAAGTATACCTTCAATTTAATTTTCTATGCTGTTTCCTCCAAAATTAAAATGTCCTTTATTTTTAATGACTTAACATATTGTGACACCTAAAATCTGCCTTCCCCCTCCTGCTCCTCCATTCCTTTTAGACAAAGGTTGCATTTGAAATACCTAGTTTATCCAAGTAAGACTGGAAGTAAAGGCTACACTGAACACATCACAAGCTACTTGCATGTTAGTCCCCGTCATGGGTGCTTTGAGCAGAAATCCTGGAAAAGATGACAGTGGCACAGTTCCAGACGTGATGTTTGCTGGGCATGAGCCTGATGTGCTTGTGTAGCTGTCCTGTTGGGCTCAAGCCTCAGACCTCATCATGCTTGATAGGCACAGTGGCAGAGGCCTGAAGTGGCTGCAGGCTGAAGCCATTCTTCTTGTCGTCAGGAATGATGCTCTGCATGCATGGTGATTGATGGTGTTTTTTCTGTTCATGGGGCTGTAAGGCATTGTCTCCGATTAGCAGTTGCTGTGTCACCTGTATGTTTTTCACACTACCCATAGTGATGTCATTTGTTGACCCCACTGTTATGTTATTTTCATCTGGAGTTGTGAAAATTTCATTGCGTGGTTGCAAAACCAAGCATATTTGAGTAGGTGGAGAAGCAAGACCTACCTGCTGTGCTTTGCTCTCTTTGATGGGAATGCAGCCCATATGGGGCTGCAGTTCTTATGAAGTTTTGCAGTTTCTTCTTATCTTTTGGCCTGTTGGGGCTATGCATGTACAGCAGTGGACATCTTGTGGTAATTCAGCCTTGTCTAAAACGGGCTGATATCCATAAGATCACAGGAAAACACCCTGGGCTTGAGGGCATGAGGTGCTTCAGGGCTCAGGCGTTTGGAAGAGGTTGAAGCCACGTCTTTCACTGCCCTGTTTTTCCCAAGCCTAAAGAAGCTTTAATAGGCTGACACCAGTTTTTACACAATAATTCTGGTGCTACCAGTTGTCATCATGCTGGAGTTGTTCTTCCTAATATTTTCTCATGCTCATACTTGGTTCCCCACCTGTATCTCCTTCAAGTTGATGATATTTTAAAGCGTCAAGATAAAATAGGATGCCAGGAGTTACGGAGAGCTTGGACAGGTCCTGACATCTGCAATTTGGCTGCAGCAGCATGGCCAAAGCAGTGCATTTCCACTGGCATTCCCCTAATGAAATATGGCAGGGGAATTACTCATAGGAATCACAAGGTAGCTTTTCTTGCTGGCACTTACTGGAGAAGCTAGAGAATTCTTGCATCTTAATTTCTGGCTTCTCCAACAGAGAATTCTTACATCTTAATTTCGTTAATAATGTTAAGGAAAGTGATAGGTGACATTGAATAAAAATTGTTTTTCTAGAAATGTCAAAGCATACGCTGAGATTTCAGAATTTGGATGGTGCTTTGGCATTTCTGTGATTAATGTGATTAGATTATTCCTGCTGCATGCCAAAGCGCCGTGCAAAACATAGGCCAACAGCCTCAGGGGCCTTGTTTTTACATTAACTTCTGGAAATCTATACACTGGTGTTACACTCTGGCCTTCTTGTGCATGTTGAACATGTTTTGTTTTCGTACCATCAGGTACAGACATTGGCCCAACATCAAGGTTCCCAAATACCACCCCAATAAAGCTCTCGCTAATGACTTTGTAATCATTTCCCTAGTTGACAGGCTACCTCAAAATGCTTCATGAGGCACATGGGAATCACTAGCTCTTCAGAATGCGGGCACTGTACCTTCTTTGCAGGGACGTATGCTGCCTTTTAAGTGGTTAAACCTGTCCTACGCACTGCTGTCGAATGGGAAGGGGCGACAACTCCTGCATCCAAGCTCTTGGTTAAAGATGTGGCTGCAAGACTGGTCACTTAGTCACTGTAGGGCAAGTCCCTTTCACAGACAGAAGGGCTTTGTGTCTGGCCACTTCTTAATCTTGATCATTTGCTCTGAACAGATTCATTTGAGGAAAAGATACCTTCCATGTCAGCTGCTGGTTAACCTTGAATTCCTGCCTGTGTTCCCATCTGGTGGTTGTTTTCAATGTGTTTTGTTGGCAAGAAACAGTGAGAGAAGGGGCTTGTGAATTGAGACAGATACTTCCCACCAAGGTAGAGGAATGAAAAGGCAGGAGGGTGTGGTGGGCTGCAAGGACAGGATTTATGCCCCAAGGAATTGCAGAGCAGCACTTCCGTCTATGATATGGGGAAGAGGTGGCACTGCTGGCGTTCAAGCTCTCCTCTTTGCTCAGGTCCAGCCAAGCTGGAGGTTGCCTAGGCTTTCCAGGGGCATGTGCAGAAGCTTTGGGGAGCATACAAGTGTTGGCTGCCTGTAAAGTCCACCCCTGCTATCTCATTTTGTGTAGGACTGTGTGTACTTTTTACGCTACAGGAACCAGTGGGAGTGACTTTCCTGCTGGACAGCTGTTCCTGTGCACTGGTGAAGAAAAGTGCAATATGGGCTGAAGGGATTTGGGAGAAAGAAAGGTTGGCCTCACTGTGACAAGCTTTCCAAAAACATGTTCTGTGCCATCTTTGCAAAGGATCTGTGCAGTTTTTAACGAGGCTCTTTGCAGGTGATCATCACTGCTATAGCATTTCTCTGCCTGGAGTCCAGTGCTTGTACTCTGAGGCCTGCTTTGCAGAAGCAGCCAATGCTAGCAGCTGTTGAAAGCCATGCTTTGAACAAGTGAAGTACTGTAATAACGGCAAGTACTCCACATAATCTGTCAGCATCGAAAACTGGGCCTCCTGGTAACTTTGGCTTTATTCTGCCTATGCGTATGTTCCCCGGTGCTACAGTGAGCTGTAGTCAATGATACCTCCCTACCTCAGTGGAGTGTGAAAAGTTGGGTTCATTTGGCATTGCAGTTCTTGTGATCAATACTGATGGTCTAAAAGAAAAGCAAGAAAATATTTTGGATGCAACATATTGGGTAGGTACATCTACAGTGTTTGGAAAGTACACATAGGTAAGGCTTGGATGACTGCAGAATGATGGATCAAAAATAAATACATATGCTAGAGAAGAAGAGGCAGTTGTAAAAGAATTGCATATCCAAAGGTCAGAATTTAAGGTTACTCTGTCCTTAATTCTGGCACTTTCTGATACTTAGTTTTCCAATTTTTTTTTTCTCTGCTGTTTTGTATAAACTATACTGTTGTAATGTCTTCTTGTGAAAGATCCTGAGTTGTAAAATAGATTTGTTTTTGTGATCTTGAATGGCATCTCACAAGTTGTGCAAGAACTTCATCTCAGTGTCCCCTCATGAAGGAAGGACCAAAGAAACCTAAGGGTGAGGAGAACAAAGGAATGTTTAATAGGCTGTATTGCGATGCAGTTGGCAAGGACCTTGAGAGAACATCAACAGTGGCCCCCTAGGCAAAGATTAGCTAAACCAGCCCCCTTCCACACATTGGTCTTCAACCTGGCCGGAACTCAGGTTGAAGAATGGCGGAGGTATATGACAGTAAACTTAAATATGCTGTTACGAAGGTGTCTACAAGTATGTTTCAGAGTCCACACAGCACAAAGGCATCTGTGTTTCTTCCATTTAAACAAATGAAAAAATTTGCTTTCTTAAAACCTTCAGCGATAGATATTCACAACCTCCCTAGATAAGCTGTTTCAGTGGTTCACCCTGCTTACTATTGGATACCTTTCCTCCTCTCCAACCTGCATTTCTCATGCTACCATCTTATGCTGTCTCTTTTAGTCTTACAGGCCATGTTCTCAAGAGGAGTTATGGAAACAGTTTGTTTCCTTTCTTGCTTGCAGCTCTTTACATAATTAAAGACTGTTGTCTGCTCTTCTAGGCATTTATAAAGCCTTCCACAAATGTTGGTTTGCAGCCCTTGCCATGCTCTTGCTGATTCTTTCTCTAGGCTCTTTCTGATCTCTTTCTTGAACACAGAAAATCTAAAATGAGGAGACATACATGTGTTGCCATCTTACCAGCCTCAAGCAAAAGCATCACAAACAATTTAAGATTTTATATACTCGATGTGCTGGGTTTTGCAGCAGCATGCTTGCTGACTCAAACACTGCTTGAAACTGTGTCCTCTCAGCTCCTTTGTGGCTGAGCTAGGACAAAGGCAATCATTTTTCAGTCTTTGCAGAGAGGCTTTTTTCTGCTTTGACACAGAAGCTTGCATTTATCCTGATGAAATTGTGTCTTATTTCTTTTCAGTTCATTTCTTGACCTTGTCAAGATCAGTCTTGGTTCTTAGTGCTTACAGTCCTTCCCAGGGATGTGCCATCTGCAGGTTAAATAATTATTATCCATCCTCAAATCATCAGTTTACATGTCAAAATGAGCAGTACCCAAGGCAGGCAGACCTCAACAGGACCCCTCTTGATATCTTCCAGTAGACTGACTGTGATACTAATTAAACAGGCTAATTGTAGAAATCATAACCTGTTCCTCCTTTAGGCTGTTTTTTTCCAACTGATGACTGTCTTTTTCTCCCTGTTTTTTTCTGCATAGGCTATATAGAGTCCAAACAGCAGTTTTTGCCCTTCCTTAATAGTTTTAGAAAATCGGGGCTATTAAAATACCACAGTACACATTTTCCATGAAGCCTAGCAATATAAATCTTTTTTGTACATGGTAGGTTGACAGCACGCCACCTAACAACATTCATGCCTCCTCTTATTTCTGAACAAGATGTAGGGAAAAAAAAACCAAAACAACAGCAACAAAAAACAAACAGGCCTTCACCTAAATATAAAAGATATTTTCATTGACACCCGCCATCTTCACAATATTTATATTTGGATTGCTTCAGCAATCACGAGCTCAGGATATGTTCTTGTCTGTATGCTTTCTTTATAGGTATCCACAGGCTTGGTAAACTAGGATGTCTAATGGAGAGGAAAATACATATTCTTGCAAATAAGCCTCAAAAGCTGCTCATGATCTAACTATCAAAAGAAATGATATTGGCTAAACTGGGATGCTAAAGGTCTAACAAGATACTAACTAACTAACTACTAACTAACAAGATACCTGTTTAAACACAAGAATGAATCTAGTGGCTGCCTGTACCAATGTAGTTTGGAATACAGGTTTTTTCCATGTATTCCCATATCTTCAAGGATTGTTGCATACAGGTGTAAAACACTGTTTTCATCATGCAATAATTTGCATAGTCACCAACATTTACTTGAACTTTGCCAGTTTTAACTAGGTTTTATTTTAAAATGACATTCACCTGTGTTACTTCTGCCTCTCCTGCCATCACTGTTTGTGCTTGTGTCCTTTTATTTACTCCTCTCCTTTTATCAGTGGGCTTTCTAGCTTTCTGCATTGCTGCTATTTGTTTCATACGAATTGGGGTCACAAAGCAAAACTGGCTAACACTCTTTTTTTTTTTTTCTTATGATCCTTCCCACAGTAAAACATTCAATACTCAACAAACTCATTCTGCTTTAAATAGCTTGAACATTAGTACCTTACTGGGACCTGAAAAAAAAATTAGCATCATTATGTCTGATGCAAGAGGTGTGACTGAGGGGTCACCTTTCAAGGTGTTTCAAAATCTGGTTATAAATCACCTTTGTCACCAAGAGTGACAAAGAACTGCAGCTGCTTTGAGTAGGAAATGGAAATATCTTGTACTCAAAGGACAAAATTCCCTGGCTGTTTGGAAGTTAGCAAGACATTAAATGTTGATGTTCACTCACAGCCATTTCTGCTTTTTACCCATGCTGTTCCTACATTCTCCAAAAAGGTTTTAAGAACTCCTCTGGTATCTTAGGCAGAGGCTGTGTGTCAGGCTACTCAAAAAGCCGTTCAACTAGTTTGTCATAATGTAGTTGTGTCATTTCCTTCCAAGCTGTGCTTCAAGCAGCTCCCATCTAGCAATGCAAAATAACTGCTTGAAGAGCTCTGTTGTTTCTTTGTTCTTTGTTGTTTTTTTTTTCTTTTCCAGCTCCCAGAAGCTTAATCTGTGTTGAAAGTTAATTGGATTTTCTTTCGTAACATTTTTACTGCAAGGTGATCCAATGGTTTTGTGTAGGTTTAGCTATAAAGAAGTTCCTCCTATTCTATGCAGCATCTTGCATTACTCTAATCATTTGACACATATATCTGAGCGCCTTCCAGAAGTGCATTTAAGCATAATGACTAACATCTGTCACACAGCAGTTGTTCTTTCTTTCATTCTCTTCCTCAGAAAAGGCTGGATGTGCCAATGCAGCCCTGGTATTTTTAACATAAATTAATTATCCATTCTGTTCTGCATTAATGTCCTAAAGGATGAGCTGAAGCACATCTTGTGCTAACAGCAGCAGACCTTGACAGCTTCGCAGCCAGGAGCAAACCAGAAGACTTTTGGGCTCCCAGGTAGCAAAGTTTAGCATTTGTACAGAAGGTTGGCATTGCACCGGAGGAGAACTTTCCTTTCCAAACTTCACTTAGCTCAAAATGCTGGGGGAGGACAAGGAGTATCGAGGATTTTGCTGTTACTCTGTGAATAATCTAATGCAAAAAAGATCTCACCTCCACCGAGCAAATGAAAAGCCAAAGGCAACCCTAAGTTCAGGCAGAAGAGCTTGAGTAGGTTAGGCAGGTGCTATCTTGTCATATTATTGACTTCGTAAGTCTGTGTTCACACCAAATACCTTTCCAATCATTTCTGGTCTTCCTGGCTCCACCTTATCTGGTAGGTTATCACTTTGCCTACCTCTCTGGAAAATGAAGGTATTTTTTGTATGTGTTTCTAGCTTCTAAATGCTCTCTGGCAAGTGAATTTTGTCAATGAGTGTGAATTTAGCTCATTCATCTCTTGTTCCACCCATAATCATAAAAAAAGATTTTACTTAGAAGTCTTCTAAAGCTGTAGTATCCTCACGATTGCTTGTATTTCTCTCACAAAAGGCTGGTGAAGCACCTTGCTGCAGGCAGCAGTGATCTGCTACAAATGGAAGAAGCCCCCTGATGTCCATTGGCAGTTTAGAGCATGTACTGCAGACCCAGAGATTGTAGGCTAAAGTTTTCTGTTAATCTCTAAAATACTGAAGACAGCTTTTTAACTTTGATCATAATAATTAATTTTATAATTAACTTTTTCATAATGCCCTCAACCTGGCAGAATTAGGAAAATAGCTTTTTGGCTCAAACCCTTACTTAGAAAGCAGAGAACAACTACAGTATGAGGTTAACCAAGCCTCTTTCCTCGGAACATATCTTTTCAGTTGGTATTCTTTCCCTCCATCTGGCTGCAAAACATCAAGGTCACTAGAGCAGTGTAGATAGCAGCCTGTGTCTGACATTCTTTGGCCTTAACTATTCCAGTGACTAAAGACATCCTGTTCTGCAGCCTTCATGTACTTACGCAGCTATTGTGTGGACAGTGGGAATTTGGGAGCACACAGATGTTAACTGTGGGTTGAGGCGAGTTTCTGCAAGGTTGGGGGTCACGCTGAAGCAAAGCAGCAGTTATTTAGCTTAGCAGTTATTTAGTGACTCACTTATTCTCTCTGTGATCATTCTCATGTCAAGTAGGGTTGCACAAAGTAGTTACCTAGAGCAGATTTGATCACATGCTTGTTGTAGACTAACTACTGACTAACACACTGACTGTTAGCGTGCAGAATCTTACTTGTAGTCAACATAAAACAGCTTCCCCAGGCATGAGCATTTCTGCATCTACTAGGAGTACTACTCTGAGCTTAGACTATTGTTTCTAATCATAACTTTATGTTGTGTCTTGATCCTTTTGTTATGTGTCACTGTAATTCTGTTTCTCTGAAGGCAGAAGTAGACTACAGTATGGAAGTACACATTTTGAGCTTAACACTGCCATTCAAATTGGTTGCAGAATGATTGGAGTTGATTCTTTCTGTGCACATAACAGCAAGTCCCTAACACATCATCTTGGGAATCAGCCCAAGCAGCTAGCCAAGTTAATAAATTTAGGTATGTAGAATGAGCATAGCCTCAGCAAAGTAGATATGAAGATGCTGAGATAAGAGCTGTGCATCTGCCAGTCTTCCATCCACTCTGTTGTAGTCCTGCTCTGGCTCCATGTTTTGCAGTGGGTGATGATGGTGAAGGGAACCACCAGGATGAGGTACCATCAAAGCCTGCCCATGGGACCTAGGTCAAAGTGGCAGAGAAGAGATGATGCTCCAGCTGGGCTTGATATATAAAGAGTGGGAGGGAGGTGGAAGAGGAACTGTACTGTACATGGACAAAAAGCAGGAGGCAAGTGATCCTGAAACTCAGGATTATATTAAACCAGTGAGCAAAGAACAGGAAAGGTGAAAACAGATCTGCTCTGGATA